GGCCTTGCCCTTGGCCACAAACCCACACGCTCTGGAAATATCCACTCTCCCCACCCCCGCCCCCAAGTCTCAGGCTTCGCTGGCTTCCCCCTTCCTGCTTCTCCATTCCGAGGCCGGGTGCGTGTGTGTGTGTGTGTGTGTGTGTAACTTGGGGACTAGGGCTGAGGAAGGAGGAAGCAGGGCGTGGACTGATAGACACCTTGTTTCAGGCCAAGGCAGGAGGGGCTTTGCTTCAGGCCAAGGCAGGAGGGGCTTTGCCGCCTGCTTCCTGGCAGCCAGCCGGCGGGAGTCCGTCCCACATGGCTCCCTGCCCAGCTTCGTGCCCAGCGATCACAAATGGGGCTTTGTGTTCCCCGGACAGAGAACACACGTCTCACCCCGACCTGGGCCAGGGCTTGTCTGCCTTGCGCCCCTCTTGGCCTCAGGAGAGACGGTGCCGCTTCCCAGGAGGGGAAACTGAGGCCTCGAGAGGAACAGGTCCGCGCAGTCAGGGGAGGAGTCTGCCTTCTGGTTTGGGGGTGAAGATGGAGAGGGGCGGTGGCGCCGTGGGGAGAAAGGAAGGAAGTAAAAAACAACACGACTCCCGTCACTTTCCGATTCCAGCCCTCGCGGGGAACTGAGTCCCATTTAGCCCGGCAGAGTGTGTGTTGAATCTTCCTGATGCGCCAGGCGGTGTGGGAGGTGCGGCATGAATCAGACATTGTCCCTGACATTTAGGAGATAAGACGAGCGTGTAAATCACCAGGAAAACAAGGGGATGAGAGACCAAGGTCACAGAGCGGGGCTGCCAATGGGCAGGGGTTGCGGGGGTGGGGGGGGGCGGGGGAGTGATCATCGCTGCCTTCCCGGCCGCCACCCAGGGCTTCCCATGGGCTGGGAGCCCAGCTACAAAGCAAGAGCCGCGGCGCCTTCGGAAACCAGAGGCAGCCACAGCTATGTTTTGTTTTTTTAAAAATATATTTTACTGATTTTTTATAGAGAGGAAGGGAGAGAGACAGAGAGCTAGAAACATCGATGAGAGAGAAACATCGATCAGCTGCCTCCTGCACATCTCCCACTGGGGATGTGCCCGCAACCCAGGTACATGCCCCTGACCGGAATCGAACCCGGGACCCTTCAGTCCGCAGGCCGACGCTCTATCCACTGAGCCAAACCGGTTTCGGCCACAGCTATGTTTTGATTATCAAAGAAGCAAATGCCATGGTGTCCGAGAGAACCCTCCACTCTGCCCTGGGCCTGCTCTGCATCTCTGCACCACTCCCGACTTCCTGCTGCGTGTACTCCTTTCTGCACATTACTCTCTACTCTCGTCTGTTTCCTCCGCAGAGCAGGGCTCTCCTCTGCCTCACTGCAGCCCCACTGCCTACAACAGAGTAGGTGCTCAAACATATCGGGCGAATAAAAAAGAATATTTTATATATAAATATACTCATGCACCGGGGTCAGGGCGTGCCTATGGCTGTATGTACTGTGTTTTCCCTACTACGTATGTGGCATTTGTACTTTTTTTCCTTTTTTTGCATTTCCCCTGTCATTAGTCTTTAAGAACACCCTTTTTGACAGCTGTATAGTATTCCACCACCTTGCTATTACATCCTTTTTACATTCTTTCACGCCACCCTTCTTGGTCTTTATTCAGTTGTGTCTGCAGGATTTAAATAAGGAAATAGGCAGGAAGAGGAATGTGAAGGCTTTTCTGACAGAAGGAACTCATAGGGAGAAGGCAGTGTGGGTGCGGTGTGGGGAGCTGAGTGAAATCTTAAGGGTGTTGAATTCAGTAGTGGTGTCTGGTGAGCCATGTGGCCAGGAAACCTTGTGCCCAGTGGTATATTGTTAAACTAACTCTCCAATAATAATAATAATAATAATAATAAATATATATATATGGCATTTGCCAATGTCCATGGTGTAAATTCTCCTACCATGGTTGGTGTTTAATTCCCAAGGTAGCATTGCTGAACGTGGAGTTGCGAGGCGGGGGACAGCCAGCTCTCACGGGCCCATAGGAGCGACTCAGCGCAGCCCTGCCTGACCCTGCTCTGGGAGGAGAGGCCCTCTCTACTCCATGTCTGCGAGCTCTCAGACGAAGGGGAGGGCTCCGTCCTGGGCAGTGGGCCCATCAGGGCGGCAGGAACCCTATCTTGGGATCTATCAGACTTCTCAGCTGAATACAAACTACCAGACTTCTCAGCTGGATACAAACTCACAGATTCCCTCAGCTCAGCAATCCGGAGCCGCCCCGGCCACTGGAGTGTGGCTGCTCCATCCACGCCTGGAATTCGGGGCCGGGCCCAGCCTCAGAGCTCAGCCACCAAGTGGGGCTCCGGGTCAGGCACAGCGGTGGGTTCAGGACTTCACCCAATGGCACGACACGTATGGAGCACTTGCTGTATGCCAGGCTCTGGTAAACGTCCGACATTTACTTCATCGCATCCTCACACCCCGCCTATGAGGTGGGTGCCGTTGTCCCCCGTTTACAGATGAGGAAACTGAGGCACAGAGAGGACAACGCACTTGCCTAAGAACATCCAGCTCTGAAGTGTAGGTGCCAGGATTCGGTCCTAGGCCGGCTGGATGCTAAAACCTCTGCTCTTCAACCCCGAGCTCAGCATCGCCTCCTGAGAGGTTTGATGAAGCACCTGCTGTGTGCACTGCATGGTGCTGGACTGTGTGTGGAGTTGGCAGTGATCATGGCTTTGTCTCTATGGATCTTAGCAGAAGAGGAATGGGAGGAGGTTAACCATTTTTTGAGCAACTACTGTGTGCCAGGAAGGAAGCCAGATGCCTTACACCACCGTCTTAATTACCGCTCATAACAATCCCAGGAGAAAGGGGAGACCCCTCCCACGTGACAGCCCAGGCCCGGGTGCTCAGGAGCCTGCCCTCCGCTCTCCTAGCTGGGTGGCCTCCAGCAGGTCGAAGGCCGGCTCGGGCCACCTTTCCCCCTTTGGTCCCTTGGCAGAGGCTGTTCCAGGAGACCTGAAACCCTCTGCCAGTTTGGGGTCAAAGCTTCTCACAATAACAGGAAGTGGCCAGGCCATTTGGAAACGTTGGGGACTCTGGCCTCAGCCCCAGGGGAACGGCAGGGTCAGACGCCAGATATTGGGCAGGTGACAGAGCTGACTCCCTAGAGACCTGGCTGGCGCAGTCCATGACCTTTGTAACCCCCCTCTCCCGGGGAGGGGGGTGGGGAGGGGTGCCTAGGAATGTGACTTCCTGCTCAGCTCCAGAAGGCAGGCGGACATGGCTGGTGGCAGCTTGGCTGGCTTCCCAGGTGGCCCCAGAACTAGGCCCCCAGGTTCCATCGGGGTTGCCAGGGGCTGGGTAGCATCCCTGGGTCTCTGCAAGATCTCAGAAGAAAAAGGTTCAGCCAAAAGCTCCCACTTAGGTTGGGGGAGGAAGGCCTGGACACCTGTCTTGAAGCCTTTTCCACTGGTGAGGATCTGGGGTGACTGGTAATGATTATGGGGGTAATTTAACTACTCCCTTGGAGCTACCACTGTTCTGGATTCAACCCTGGATCATCCCTCACCCCCATCTGAAGGATGTTGCAATACTTCTAAGGCTTGGGGGGCCCGTCCTGCTAGACCCATTTCCCAGATGGGGTAACTGAGGCCCAGACTTTGGAAGTTGGAGGACTCACCAGACAGTGGCCAACTGGGGAGAAAATTCCAGGGATCTGAACCCCTAATGAGAGTGGCTGGGTGGGAGTCGAGGAGGGAGACTGGGAGGCAGATCCCTGGGCTACTCCCGTGGCTGGGCAGCCCTCCCAGTCCCGCCGGTCTGGGTGTGCCCGCACTCATTCAGCGGGGGACTTCCCATTGGTGCCCAGCCCTGGGCTGACCCGAGTGACTCAGGCTGGGCACCAGCCCTTCTAAGAGCTCTTAAGCAGGTAAACAGTGAAACTCACGGGGAGAAATAGTGTGTGTAAGTACCTGCCCTGGGACAGGCCCTTCCCGTCATGTTATCTCATTTAAAACTTGAATAAATGGACAGACCCGGAGCTGCAGGAGCAGAGAAAAAGGGAAGAAAGGCATCTGCCTGTTGAGGAAACCCTGGAAGACGCCCCAGGAGAGGGGACATTTGAGCTATGCCTTGAAGACCAATCATAATAACAGCGAACACTTTTTTAAGCTCCCCAAGTTCCCGTCGCTGTTCTGAGACCTGTATCTGCTTTATCTCAGCGAATCCTCCCCAAACCCTGTGAGCGAGCTCCCGTGTTCCCTCGGAACAGATGAGAAAACCGAACCAGACAGGCACAGACAGGTTCACTTGCCCAACAGCACCCAGCGACCAAGCGGCCGGCGGCAGGATGCACATCCAGAAGGCAAACCAGCTACGGACTGACACCCGCCTCTGGACCTCCGTTTCTTCATCCGTACAATGGGGGTGATAGTACAATACTCCCTGGCGCATAGAGTTACTGCGAAGACGAAGACGGGAGAAGCCCGCCATGGCTCAGAGCAGGGCCTGGCACAGTTAGGTGTTCAAACATTGTAAACGACTTTTATCATCGCTGCGGCGGCTGCGCCCCTCCCCCCGCCCGGCCGCGGCGTCCTCCCCCGCAGCGCCAGCCCGTGACGTGGGCGCGGCGGCTCGCACAGTCTGGGTTTAATTGGAAACTGAGAGCTAGAAGGGGAGATCGAGGCCCCTCCCTTGAATCTAACGGACCCCCAGGGAATGTGCCACTCTCTCTCTAGCGACCCCTCCCGGAGACGCGGATACTGCTCCGGACAGGGCGGGGACCGGGAGGCGGCGCCGGGATGGTAGGCGGGGAGGGCCGAGGAGACGTGAAGGTGTGGAAGGGAGGACAGGCGGGGGACACACTACGTTTTCTGAGCCCGATGCCAACTCACCAGGAACCACTGGCCACGCCCATCATGGCCGTAGGCCACGCCCCACCTGCCAGTCCGAGCCTCGGTGCGCCCTGGTGTCCGCGGCCGGCGCGCTCGGGTGCGCTTGGCTGGGGAGCCGGCAGAGAGCGCGCTAGGGGGCCGGGGGCCCGCGGGGACCCGGAGGGAGGCGGGATTGCGGGGAGGGCCCCGGGCCGCCCCCTTCCGCCCTGCCCGCCCACCAGGAGCTCCAGACTCAGAGGCAAAAGCCGGCGGCGCTCCCTGCGCGCCCCACCTGCTCCGCACGCGGATCCTACCTGTGGAGTCCGCGGGGGACGGGGGGAGGGCGCCCCCTCGGAGGACACCAATCCTTTCTCCTCCTTCGAAAACCTCCCGCCCAGCTACCCGCGTCTCGGACAGGAGGCGCTGGGACCCGGGACAGGGCGCCAGGCGTGCAGCTGGTGACATGTAGATTCCTTTCTCTGCCACCCCCCTTCCCCGCGGTCCAGCCTCGGAACCCGGGCGCCCTCCCGCCCTGAAAGTTTGGGGTTGGGCGCCATGGCCAAGATCAGCTCCCTGAATGTCCGCGTGGTGGAGGGCCGGGCGCTGCCCGCCAAGGACGTGTGAGTATCCCGGAGCGAGGGCGTGCGGGGCACGGGGTGGGGTGGGGGTCGCCCATTCCGCGTGCCAGGGAGGGCCGGGGAAGTGGGCATGGGTTCCCGTCTAAGACGCTGAGACCCTGTATTGAGGCAGATCCACCTTCGTGGGGGGAGAGGCCCCATGCCCAGCGCTGCCCCATGCCCAGATGCCCGCCCTGCCCCCCAGGCTGGATGTCTTTGACCCTGGGATGTAACTAAAGGGTCTTACAGAGCGGCAGCCGGAGATTGGAGGGCGGATTCTGTCGCAGCTGGAGATGGGGGTGGGGATGGGGATGGGGAGGTGTCGCTCCTGGCTTGGGTGGGCTCCTATCAATAAAATGGGGTGTGTGTGGGGGGGATCCAGGTGGCCCAGCATTCCTCTGTGTGCATCTGGGTTTAGATTTGCAGAGAGTCACCAGATGGCCAGCCCGCCAGCCTTGGGGGAAACTGGGGTGCTTTTGACCCAGAGCCCCGAGCTCCCCAGCCAGTAGTTCCCAGCGGAGTGTGGGCCCTCCCTGCATGTTGAGCGGCTTGAGGAGCTAACCCTCCCCCGGCAGCCCCCTCCCCGCCAGGTGTGAGGGGTCTGGAGAACCCTGGGGCCCCTGGGACCAGTGCTTGGCTGGGTTTCCCTGGGGCTGAGTCAGCAGTTGCCGGATCAGCAGAATGGTGTGTGGGGGGGTCCCCCTCCTGCTTGGCCTGGAGCCCAGAAGGGGTTCTGAGGGTGTCAGCACCTGGTGTAGGTACGGGATCCTTGGCAGGACATCGGCTGTTTGACCTTGAACCTGGGTCTCTCTGGGTCTCCATCTCCCATCTGTGCAATGGGAGCCCTGGACGGGGCCTCCCAGCCCCGTGCAGCTGGGAGGGTGGAGGACCAGCTAGGACTTACCCCGCCGCCAAGGTGAGCAGGAACCTAGGTTCTGAGCCATTGCTCTGCCTGACTCCCCCAGCTGCGGGCCCCCAGCAAGGAGGACCCTGCCTTCCATTCCACCACCTGCCCCCTCCCCAACGCTGAGGCTGTGTCCAGGGGGGCGCTGCTTAGAGCTCCTCCATCCTCCTCAGCCGCCCCCAATCAGCACAGCCCCGCAACCCACGGAGGGGAGGCCGAGGGCTCGCTGTGCGGATGCGGCACCTGGACAAGCCCTGCCTCCCTCTCTCTGAGATGTCCTCCCGGAGCCCCGAGAAGAGAGACCCTGGAAGTGTTGGGGCAGTGAAGCCAGGAGGGGGCCTGGAGGCTGATGGAGGCTGGTGAGCGCCATCTGCCCCTCCGGGGAGGGAGTTGAGTCACGCGTGGCTCCCATGCACCCTCCTCCCCATGTTCCTGGGCCAAGGCCACGCCCTCGAGCAAGGGTAGGGAGTCACTAAGCCCCAGTGGGGGATCTGGCCATCCTGCCTCAGTTTCCCTAGCTGTTGGCTCCCTTCTTCACAGGGGGTCTCCTCAGAGCGTGCTGGGATCTCCCCGCCCGCGTGTTCTCGCCCCTCTCCTAAGGAAAAGGCTGGATTCTTCCTGAAGCCTCCCCAGATTCTAGGGCGTCTGGACTTGGCGTAAGAGGAAGACTCAGCGGCGACTTTAGAGTTACTGCTATCACTGACAACAGCAGCTGTGCCCTGGCCGGTGGCTCAGTGGTTAGAGCATCGACCTGTGCACTAAAGGGTCGAGGGTTTGACTCCTGGTCAAGGGCACAGGGTTGTAGGTTTGATCCCCGGCCCCAGTCTGGGCACAATGGGGAAGCAATCAGTCGATGTGTCTCTCTCACATCAATGTTTCTCCCCCCGCCACACACACTCTTTCTAAAAATCAATGGGAAAAACATCCTCGGATGAGGATTAACAACAACAAAAATAATAAAAATAATCGCTGTACTTCACCGAGGCTGATAGGGACCAGGTTCTGCACTTAGCATTTCCTAGGCTTCTGCTAGCACTTCTCCTTTACAAACGGGGAAACTGAGGCCCAGAGTGGCAAAGTCACTTGCCTAAGGTCACGCGGCCGGGATCTGAAGCCTGACCGCTCCCACGCCCACACCAGGCTGCGCAGGCATGGCCGCGGCGTGGGGCAGCGGCCGTGGGAGAGGCCAGGCTCTGGAGCGATGGCAGGTCGGCGAGGCAGCCCCCTCCCGCCCCCTCCCGCCCCCTCCCGCCGCTGCCCCTACCTGATAGGAGCCTGATAAGGCCCTTGTGCGTCAGAGCCCGGCAGCTGACGTGCGAGCTCGGCTCCCAGGAGGGGTCGGGGGTCAGGCGGGGTTCACAGGAGGGCGCATGTCTCCCAGCCCTTTGCTGGTGAGATGCCAGCCCACGTCCGCAGTTGGGGAAACCGAGGAACGGGAGCCTGCTTTAGAGAAGCTCAGGGTCAGAGAACCCAGAGAGAGCAATGAGATGTAGGGGGTTACCCAGCCGCGGGCATTCAGGGGGGTGGAGCCAGGTGGGGAAACTGAGGCCCAGGGCGCTCCATGGAGAACCTAGAGAGGAACTCAGAGACACAAGCCACCGCCCAGTCTGAGATGTTCAGGGAGGGGGACCAGATGGAGTGCCCAGCAAAGGGGGCCAAGGGAAGGAACCCCGAGAGGAAACTGAGGCACAGGGAGGGCTCAGCCAGCAGACAAGCCTCCGGCAGGAGCCAGTCCCGGTGCCCACGTCCCTGCGCCTGGGAATCCCTGAGGCAGGGGTGGATCGCTGACCATCTGAACTGAGGGGAGGTGGCGGAGAGAGAGAGGTGGGGGCCGGGCATGGAGGGAGGGCCATTTGGGCTGGAGGCAGCCTTGGTTAGGAGCTTGTGCGCTGAGCCCTGTGGACCTGGGCTTGGATCCTGGCTGCCAGGTGGGCGGTGGAGGCTTGAGGTCTGGGTGCCCTGGTCTGTCTGCAGTGAGAGCTGCTGAGCTCCATCCCTGCTGGTGGCTGAGCAACGTGTGTCCCCCGCCCAGGGGAACCTGCTGCAATGAAAGGCCAGAGAGGCTCTGGGTGAGCCTGGGCTGCCTGCACCTCGTGTGCCTCTTAGTTCCTCCTCTGCCCCAGGGGGTATATGTTAATGCTCTTCCTGACTCATAGGGCAGAGGCACTGAGGGCCACAGAGGGGCCGGGGCTTGCCAGAGCCCCACAGCCAGCAGGTGGGGAAGCAGGTGTGACTCCCCCGCACGCACTCGCTTTGGGCTTCCTGGGACAGGGACTCTGCACTTCCTCGCTCGGTGCCTCCGTGTTCTATTTCTGTAGGTGGACACCCAGGGAGGCCACGCCTGCTGGGTCGGGGTTGCAGCGGGCAGGCTGAGCAGCCATGACCTCCTGCTGGTCCCCAGCTTCGTAGCTGGACTTGCTGTGTGACCCTGGGCAGGTCCCCTCCCCTCTCTGGGCCTCCGTTGCACCCTCCTGTGAAATGAAGGCAGATTGGGGTTCCCGCCCACGACTGCCCTCTCAACCTCCTCCTTCCGCAGGTCTGGGAGCAGTGACCCCTACTGCATAGTGAAAGTGGACGACGAGGTGGTGGCCAGGTGAGGAGTGGAGGCTGGGCTGGGGCGGGGCGAGCAGGGCCGGGGGAGGGGCTCCTTCTAGCCCTGGGGGGTCCAGGCACAAGAACCCACCAGGAAAAGAGGGGCCGGAGAGGCCGATGCTCACCCCAGCGGCGGACTTGCGGCCTGATGGTGGTGCTTTGTGCCCTGGCCCCGGACCGGACAGCGGGGGCTGCCAGCTCCTCTCCCCACCCAGCCCAGCTGGCCCGCACCTTCCCCCTGGACTTGACCATGTCCCTGCTGGCTCCCGGGGCTGACTCAGCGGCTGCCAGCCTGTGCCTCCCATGGTGGCCTCCCCGGGGGCGGGCATCTCACGCTTGGCTGGGCTGGCTGGTTCCGGGCCTGCTTGCTGGGTCCTGCGGGCACCAGGCTGTGTGTGTGCGCCTGCGCCCAGCTGGCCTGCTTGAGTGTCCATGGGGGTGTTGGAGGGCTGGTGTCCAGATGGACGTGTCCCTGTGGGAATGCAGGCTCACTATGTGTAGCAGTGTGTGGTCTGTGTGCATGTGTGCCCACACACACGGGCTGCCCTGTACACACGTGCGCACCGCTGCCTGCTTATTGGGGTCCACAGGCACCAATGTGACACATGTGAAGGTGTGAGGGTGTTTGATGTGTGAGCGGGTCTGGGCAGGGGGGACATCGGGCTGGGTCATGCTTGGTTCCCACCCCCGCAGGCCGATCAAGGGACAGCTCTCAGCCCCCGCAGGCCTAAGGGGTGTGGGTGGGCGGATGGCTGAGGCCTCGGTTCCTATGGAGACAGCAGGATTCAGGATGCTGCTGGCGAGGTTCCGGTCCAGATGGACTGGGAGCTGGGGGCAGGGAGCCCATATGGGGGGAAGGTCAGCCTACAGCACCCAGCTGACCCCCTCCATCATTCTCTCTGTGCTCATGCTGCCCCCTTCCCCACAAACCCACAGGCTGATGTTCTGTGTCACCGCAGGCTGCTGTCTCCCCCTCTCTGGGCTCGGAGGAGCATCCCGCCTATGGGGCTGGGGAGGGACTTCCAGCTGGGAAGAGGCAGGGTGAGGGGGAGGAAGTGTCCAACGGATGGTGGTGCCCTGGGCTAGAGGGCAGAGCGTGGTGCATGTACGCGTGCGTGTGCACACTCACGCTCTGTTGGGGAAGAGTGTGTAAAAGGAAGATGGGAGTGGCAGGTGTGCCAACCAGATTTCGCAGCCATAGGTTTGGGTGTGTCTTCACTGAGCACGGAGGTTCTTTGTTCTCTGTTGGGTACAGGGAAGTGGGTCTGCAGGGGTGCCGGCGTGAAGATGCTCTATGGGTGTGCCTGCGCCTGAGCCTGTCTTGGTCCCTAACCCTGCCACGGTTCCCCCTGGCTTACTGAGTGCTCTGGCTCCTGCTGACTTAGTCTTCTGGGCCCTCACACTCCTCCCTTTCCAACCAGCACCTTCCTGTTCCTCAAAAGTACCGAGCTCATCCCTGCCTCAGGGCCTTTGCACATGCTGTCCTAGCCATTGGGATGCTTGTCCTCATCCTCTCTCCCCACTCTGCCTGACTAGCTCTTGCAGGAAGCCTTTCTGGACCCCTCCAACCCCCCACTCCCAGACCCAACCGGGTACTAACCACAGCACAGGGCTCTCACTGTGCCACAGAGCTCGGGAGAGCGCGCCTGGCTGCTGAGGGGGCTCGGAGGGAGCATGGGCCTTGGTGTCTCTTCCTCTGATTCCCCCAGAACCCATATGCCTTGGCACCCAGTGAATGCATGAATGGATGGATGGATGGAATCATGCGTGTTGTTACTGTGTTTGTGTGATTCTATATGTGTGCCTGCTGTGTACGTATGTGAGTGTGTCTGTGGGTTTGTGTGACTGTGTCTGTTTTCTTTGTGTGTGTCCACATGTGTCAGTGTGTAGAAACACATCGATTTGTATTTCTAGAAGTTTCTGAGGCTGCATATGTGTGTCTGTGTCTCTGGCTTCCTTGGTGTATCTATGCGTGTCTGTTTCAGTGTGTCCCTGTGGGAGTGTGTGTGTGTGTGTGTGTGTGTGTGTGTGGCTGCGCATGTGCACCTGGGTGCCCAGGTGTCTGCGGCTTGTGTGGCCCAAGTCCCCCCAGCCCCCTGCTCCCCCTTTTGCAGGACAGCAACTGTCTGGCGGAGCCTGAGCCCCTTCTGGGGGGAGGAGTACACGGTGCACCTGCCCCTGGATTTCCACCATCTGGCCTTCTATGTGCTGGACGAGGATACGGTGGGGTATGTGTGCTGGGGACCCAGGCCTGGCATCTGAGGGGAGGCGGACACCCCAGAGCAAAGTACCCACCTACCTGCCCACCCTTGATGCCTGTCCCTTTCCTGACCTGGCCCCTCCCCTGCTCCCTTCCCACAGGCATGACGACATCATCGGCAAGATCTCGCTGAGCAGGGAGGCCATTGCCGCTGACCCCCGAGGTGGGTGAGGGGCGCCGGTCCTCAGCCGGCAGAGGGAGGAGGGGTGGCCATGCCCAGAGTGGGCGTTGCAAGGGCAGAGCAAGTGTCACGAGAAGCACAGAGCCCTCCGTGGAAAATTATTTCCGTTTTTGTTTTTAGACAGGACAGACATGTGGGGTGGCGGTATGTGGAACATCACTGGTATGACAGGGCAGAGGAGGAGTGGGCAGGTGGTCCAAGAAGGCTTCCTGGAGGAAGGGGAAGGAGTGGGGCCTTAAAGGTGCTTTGGCAAAGAGGCGAAGGCCCATCTCCAGGGATTCTCTTCTAGGGTCAGGCGTGGGCCGGGCCAGATGGAGTATTGTGTGTGGGGGTTGGTTGGAGATGGCCCTCGGTGCCTGGACCTTTTCTGGGAGGTACTGGGGAGCCATTGATAGGCCTTGAGCAAGACAGCGGAGAGAGTGGAGCCGTATCAGAGGAGGAGAGACTGACAAGAGAGATTAGATACATCTTCAGATCTCTGTGCTGCTTTGTGGATACTGGATCGCAGTGGGACAGGAGTAGAGCTGAGAGATCAATTTGGAGTCGGTGCAATAATCGAGTCAGAGAAAGCTGACAGCATCCTGCACTTGGGGGTTGGAGTGGAGATAGAGGTGAAGTGGGACTTTCATTTCCAGCAGCCCGGGGGCACTCCACCTTCCGAAGAGCCCTCCTGCTATGTGACAGGGAGCTCCTGAATTAGATGCGATTCCTAATACGTTGTTGGACTTGCTGTAAAGAAGAAAAACTGCCCAGTATTCTCCTCCCACCCCCCAGTCGTCAGCAAAACTTAACGGGGAGCGGTGAGCGACAGCGAGGGAATAAGGAAGGAGTTCCCCGAAAGTCAATGTCAGTATCTAATCTGCAGTCAACAGACTAAATCTTGAGCCGGGGCGAAGGCAGACGGTCCCGACCCCGAGACTCCCCCATTAGACCGACGCCCTTAAAGAGGCCCAGAATGAGCAAGCACCTCTCCTCTCCAGGGATAAGCAGCCTCAGGCTCCGTTTCCCACAGAATGAGATCAAACAAACACGAATTCACAACCAAAGACCATCACACACACAACGCTTAGGACATGGTAGGTGCTTAACAACTGCTGACACCTGTGCCCTCCAGGAATTGACAGCTGGATTAACCTGAGCCCCGTGGACCCGGATGCCGAGGTGCAAGGTGAGATCTACCTGGCTGTGCAGATGCTGGAAGATGTGCGGGGCCGCTGTCTTCGCTGCCATGTGCTCAAGGCCAGGTAGGGTCACAGTGTGGGGTGTAGGCGGTGATCTGAGAACGAGCAGGGACCAGCAACCAAAGGCCAGACACTCGGGATGGCCAGGCATGAGCGAGGAGGTATATTAGTCAGAGTGTAAGCAGTAGTCACCCAGTGCCTACGGACTGAAGCAGACTGTCTCCTATGAATGACATGTAGCTTCAGGTATGGCTGGATCCAGGTGCTCAAAGGGTGACATCGGGACTCTGTAGACACAGATTTCCTCAGCTGTCTGTTGTGTTGGCTTCATTCTAAGTCTTTCCCCAGGTGGGGGCAACGATGGCCCCAGCAGCCTCAGCTGCCATCCTAACAACTTGGCAGCCCCAAATGAAAAAGAATTCTATCTCTTATCCATTTCCAACCAATGTTTTGGGAGCATTTCTTATTGGCTCAGTCTGGGGCTCATGCCTATCTCTGAGTCAATGACACTGACTGATTGGTCAGGCCTGAGTCACAGCCCTTTCCTGGAGTGGAGGGAGGGTCAGCCCCGAAGAGATCACGTGGGCTGGGAGTGAGGAGGGGAGGGGTCCTACCCCAAAGAAACATCTGGAGGAAGACAGATGCGGGACCAGCAAACCCCACAGTGACCCTCCAGGGCACCAGCTCAGGGGACAGCCCTCACTCCTCCTGCCTATCACTCTGTAATCCCCTTTCTCTCTCTCTGAGCTCCCCCATTATTCTGCTTCCTTAAATACTTTCCCCCATTCCCTTCTTATCTCCCATCTTGTCTTTCTGCCTTTTTTTTTTTCACACCTTACTCCCCCAACCTTCCCTTTTAGGCTGATTCTTGCCAAGGTTGGGGAGCATCTCAATTTCTAGTTTGCTGTGTGACTTTAAGTCCTTTCTTGCCCTCTCTGTGTCTCTCCCACCACCTGCAGATTTCTGTCCCCAGCTGGGGATCCCTGGAGTCTGGGTGGAGTACTGGGGGCGGCGGGTGGGGTGGGGGGAGAGGAGAGGCAGGGGACAGGAGAGAGGACTCAGCATGGGACAGGGCTCCTTGTCTGCTGTTCGCCCAGGGCCTCCTCCCCAGCCACAAGGCTGTGCAGGATTCTTGCAACAGGAAAGGGACCGATTGCTGTCGCTTAGCAACTAGGCTGGCTCCTAGGAAACCAAAGGCGGCTTTGGATGCTGAGCATGGGTGGGAGAGGAGCAGCAGGAGGAAGCTCCTCTGCGGGGGGCAGGGGTCCCTGGATTTGGGGGACCTCAGGAGGAGGAGTGGGGAAGGCTGATTGGGGTGAGACTTTGGGGTTGTCATGACAACCAGAGGCAGGGGTCTCTGTCTCACCCTTTTGTTGGGTCCTAGGCGGGTGTGGGCATGGTGTTTGTTGAGTGAATGACTGACCTGAGCCCTCACCAGCTGCCAGCTGCCATGCTGAGCCCTTTCCACGCGTCATCTCATTTACTCTCGGCCCCTGAGGTTGGTCTGTTATCACTCGAGTTTTCCAGATGAGGAAACCGAAGCTCATTCCCGTGACGCCCAGACAATGGAGCGCAGAGCCAGGCTTTGAGTCCTGGCCTCTGGTCTCCCGTCCAGCGGCTCCTTTCTCCGCCCGCCCCCCACCCCCACCCCCCACGACACCTTTGCCTGCTGGGCTTGGTGATGCAGGACTTGAGCTTTCTGTGCCTCGGTTTCCTCATCTGGAAAATAGGGGCATCACTAGTGCCTCCTCATAGGGCAGCATTAGTCAATAGGACGGGCACGGTGAGGGGTGCTCCCCGCTGGGTCCCTACAATGGAGCAGTTTATTGCCTTGGAAACGAGTGGCATTTGAACGGTCTACCCTGAATCTACTTTCCAAGGTCCAGTTTGGGTTTTGGTCCTTGAGGGTCCTGTGGTTCCCCACTCCTGTCCTCATCTGTCCCCAGGGACCTGGCCCCCCGAGACATCTCCGGCACGTCTGACCCATTCGCGCGTGTGTTTTGGGGCAGCCAGAGCTTGGAGACTTCGGTGAGTGGTGGAGGGGAACTGGGAAAGAGTGGGGCATCGGGTGGTGGGGTCCCAGTCAGCTCTCTCCTCACCCCCCTCCTCCCCCAGACCATCAAGAAGACTCGCTTCCCACACTGGGATGAGGTGCTGGAGCTGCGGGAGATGCCAGGCGCCCCCTCCCCACTGCGGGTGGAGCTCTGGGACTGGGACATGGTGGGCAAGAACGACTTCTTGGGCATGGTGAGCGCCCCCTCCAACACGCTCCATGGCTCCCCACCGCCCCCAAGGGGGAAGGAAGGGAGATGGGCTGGTACCCTGGGGCTCAGAGGGTAGATGTGAAGGCTGCCTCATCAGGTCCAGGGAAATGAGTCCTATTGCCCCATTGTGCATTTGGGGAGACGGAGGCTCTCAAAGGTGCAAGAACCTGCCCATCTCCGAATTCTACAACGAGAGTACCTGGCATGACCATGTGCTGGCCCTGTGCTGAGGGCTGCTCCAGCACAACCTCATTTACCCTTCAGGCCTCCCTAAAAGGCTGGGGTGGGGAAAACCAGAGAGGCTAATTGGCTTTCCCACGGTCACATGACTAAGAAATAGTAGAGCTGGGATTTGAGTGCAGGTCTCTCTTACTCCAGAATCTAAGCCTTTATTTAACTCCTCTTCCTGGAAGCACTGGGGTCAAGGTCTTTCTCTTGGAACCTCAGTTTCCCCATCTGTACAATGGGTAGATAGTTCCTGCCTCTGGGTAGCAGTGCAGGTATATCAGGGCTGGTAGTTTTTTTTAATAAATATATTTTATTGATTATTTACAGAGAGGAAGGGAGAGAGAGAGAATTAGAAACATCGATGAGAGAAAAATATCGATCAGCTGCCTCCTGCATACCTCCTACTGGGGATGTGCCCGCAACCAAGGTACATGCCCTTGACCGGAATCGAACCGGAGACCTTTCAGTCCGCAGGCCAACACTCTATCCACTGAGCCAAACCAGTTAGGGCAGGGCTGGTAGTTTTTAAAAGGAGGCAAGATTAGAGCAAATAAGAGGGAGGCTTGGTCATGCAATGCTGGCAGTGCCTGAAATGGTTGGAAATAGAGTTACCACGTGACCCAGCAATTCCACTCCTAGGTCTGTACCCAAGAAATGAAAATATACACATGTCCACACAAAAACCTGTACATGAATGTTCACAGCAGCATTTTTCATAATAGCCAAAGCGGAAGCAGCCCAAATATCTATCAACAGCCGAATAAATAAACAAAGGGGCTATAGCCATACAATGGAATATCATTCAGCCACATAAAGGACCAAAGTACTGCCCGGCTGGTGTGGCTCAGTGGCAGCTTTGACCTATGAAGCAGGAGGTCATGGTTCAATTCCTGGTCAGAGCACATGCCTGGGGTTGCAGGCTCCATCCCCAGTAGGGGGCGTGCAGGAGGCAGCCCATCAATGATTCTCTCTCATCAATGGTTTTTCTATCTCTCAATCCCTCTCCCTTCCTCTCTGAAATCAATTAAAAAATATATTTTTAAAAAGGAACAAAGTACCGACAGATGCTACAACATGGGTGAATCTTCAAAACATGCTAAATGAAAGAAGCCAGTCTAAAAAAAACCCCCACACGTGGTGTGATTTCATTTATAGGAAATGTTTAGAATTGATGAATATATCTATGAAGACAAAATAGATTAGTGGTTGTCAGGGGCTGGGGAGTGACTGTTAATGGGTACAGGCTTTGGGGGGGCTCATAGGGAATGTTCTGAAGTTAGTAGTGATGTTAGCACAAGTCTGACTATACTGAAAGCCATTGAGTGATACACTTTAAATAGGTGAGTTGTAGGGGGCACAATTATATCTCTATAAAGTTATTTAAAAGAGGGGGTGGGGCTCGGGGGCCTTCCGGGCTGTCTCTAAGCTTTGTGATAGTACAATGGTGTCCCTGAGCAGAGCTGAAAACACACCCAGTCTGACATGCTGTCTCCAGCAGCTGTGTGACCTTAGGCAAGTCACTCCACCTCTCTGAGCCTCAGTTTCCTCAAATAACTGTCCCTGGAGGCCTCAGTGCCCTGGCAGGGCTCACCATTTAGGACTGGGGGAGGGAGTGTCACTGCTGTCATGTTGATGGGACACAGAGGGGGGAAGGCGTGGCCCCTGGCAGGCTGTGCCACCCCGCCTTGGGCGGGCAGTCTGAGTGCTTCTCCCAGGGCTGGGGGGGGATGGGCAGGGCTCCGCTGAAGCTCTGTGTCCCCGCACAGGTGGAGTTCCCCCCGAAGGTCCTGCAGCAGAACCCACCCAACGGCTGGTTCCGTCTCCTGCCCTTTCCCAGAGCTGAGGAGGATTCTGGGTAAGTGTGGGGCCGAGGGAGGAGACCAGGCTGGAACCATGTCGGGTACCATCTTCAGCTCGTGGCGTCATGGGCGCCCACCTCAGCCCACAGACCATCACCACGGCACACTGTTCATTCACCGAACAAATGTCTGAACGTCTCCCAGCTGTGTTTACACATGTCCAAATGAGTTCACCTTTAACCCACCCTCCTGCGAACATGTCAGTTCACACCTGTTGATGTGTGATCAGAACCCTGGGTCCTTCCATGCCTGTCCACACCTGTTCACACTGTCCATTCCCGAACACGTGTTTATACCAGCCACAGTGTTCACACTATAGGTGCTTGTCAAGGCCCGTTTAGACCTGTCAACATCTGTTCACACCCAGTTAGACTTGGCCACGCCTGTTCGCCGCTACCCACACTCACCTTGTTTTGCAAATATCCATGTTCCTTCCCTGTGCTCTCACCTGCCCATCTCCGCGCCGGCCCATACGTTCTTCCATCCGTACATACGTGTGCTCTGACCCGGTCAGGGGGAACCTGGGTGCCCTGCGGCTGAAGGTGCGCCTCCTGGAGGACCGCGTGCTGCCCTCACGGTGCTACCGGCCACTCCTGGAGCTGCTCATGGAGTCCGTGCTGCAGCCGGCAGAGGTGGGCGCGTCAGATAAGCAGGCACACGGGGGCTGGGGAGGGGGGCGGGGGGGGGTGTCTGGACCCTGGCCGCCCCGCTTCGGGGAAATCCGTCTGAGCTGCCCCGGAGTCCCAGGGCCCCGGCCAGCTCGCCTGCCGCCTGTCCTTCCAGGAGGACGTCTGCAGCCCCCTGGCTGTGCTGGAGGAGCTGACCTCGGGGGACTGCCGCCAGGACCTCGCCACCAAGCTGGCGAAGCTCTTTCTTGGCCAGGGCCTGGCTGGGCCCTTTCTGGACTATCTCACCCGGCGGGAGTTGGCGCGGACCAGTGAGTTGCCCACAGGACCCCCGGACAGCACTCCCCCAAGGATGAGTCTGCAGAGGGTCTCTGGGGGGCTAAGAGGGGGGCTCAAGCAGGGACAGGGGCTCGTGCGTGTGTGTGCGTGTGTGCGCGCGTGTGTGTGTGTGTGTGTGTGCACGCACGCATGTGTGGAGCCTGCTGGTTTTGTTACCCTTGAGCTGTGTGACCGCAGGCAGATTGCTTAACCACCCTGGGCCTCGGTACTGTGAACAGAGCTGATGTTGCGGGTCTCCTCAATGCCTGAGGCTGGAAGCATCCTGACCCCCACCTTGGGTGGGTGGGTGGGGTGAGGTGGATCACTCCCCCCAACCCCAGAAAACACTTCCTTCTGCCCTCCCAGCCGACCCCAACACCCTCTTCCGTTCTAACTCCCTGGCATCCAAGTCCATGGAGCAGTTCATGAAGGTGAGTAGGCGAAGGCCTGCGGGGCCCAGCAGCTTCCTCAAGGGCCCCCCTCCAGGGTTCACCTGGACCCAGAGCTTGGCTGGCTTCAGGTGGCAGTGGGCAGCCGAGCTGGGGAGCTGGTGGCAGGTGCCTGGCCTCTCACCCGAGTGGCAGCCCCCACCCAGCCCTTGGGCGTGCCTGGGCCTTGCTCTGAGCCTCTTCCTGCATGGTGCCCCCTGCCCCGAGCTCACGGGCACGCCCCGGCCTCGCCCTCAGCCCCGCCCCATGTGGTGCCCCCCCACCCCCCAGCTCGTGGGCATGCCCTACCTGCACGAGGTCCTGAAGCCGGTGATTAGCCGCGTCTTTGAGGAGAAGAAGTACATCGAGCTGGACCCGTGCAAGATGGACCTGGGCCGCACCAAGTGAGCTGAGCTGGGGGGCCTGACCCCCGACAGCCCCCTTGTCCCCGAGTCTCGTCAGGCTGGGCCTGTGCCCCTTGCTAACCCCTCCCCGCCTCCCCCGCCCCCCTCACCCCGTTCCCTGGAGCCCTGCCGCCCACCTCAAAGTCTCCCCTGGGGCACCCCAGTCCTCAGGCTGCCTGGGGTAGTGGCTCCCCGGGTTCAAACCCCCGCTCTGCCCCCACCGGTGTGCAAGCCACCTCGCCCCTGTGCGGCTGTGAGAGTGAACCGAGCTATGCATGCACCCAAGGACACGGTACTTCTAATGTCCCTCATTGCGGGCGGGCCCTGCGTGTGAGGCGGGCCCGGCGTGGGCCTGCGTGCAGGGCGGGCCCTGGAGCACTTGATGAGATTGGAGGAGGCCGGGCAGTGGCTGGCTCACTCCACGCCTCCGTGGGCTCCTCTTCTCTTTCCGGGCCCTGCCCCACTCCCGCCAGGCCATGACGCTGGTTGCTGGGCAGCCCATCGGGGACTATGGTGGGGACAGGAGAGAGCCCTACCTTTATTTTGGGCCCCGCCCAGCAAGTGCTGCCCACAGCTGCTGACCACCTGGAGGCAGGCACCAGGACCCCTTTTACCCGATGAGGAAACAGCCTCAGAGAGGGAGGTCACCTGCTGAGGGCTGCACAGTTGGGAAGAAGTTGCACAGCAGGATTTGAACCCAGGCCCCGCGCACAGGGCAGGGTCGGTCTGTGAAACCCCCAGGCAGAGGCGTTTCCCAGCAGACCTGGTGGGGATGCAGCCGGGCCGCCAGCACCTGGGCAGTGCAGGGCAGTAGCCAGACCCCAGTGGGCAGTCCTGAGTTCTAATCTCGACTCTGCCCTGTTTGCAAGGAGACCTCTCTGAGCCTCAGTTTCCTCATCTGTTAAATGGGATGTTTACTAGTAGTCCATCAGATTGCCATTAGGATCAAATGCCACCATGTCAGAGGCATTAACTCCTTGGGTCCAGGACCCGGGGTGGGGGGTGCGGGGTGGGGGGGGGCAGGGAACCCCCAGCCTGGCTTCTGCGGAGGTCACATCTGAGAGTGGGCAACACAGACCCTTCACCTGGATGGGAACAAAAAGGAACAAAATAACTGCAGATAGAAAACTGCTACTCCCTCATCCGCTCAACAAAACAATTGTTGAGCACCTACTGTGTACCGGGCATCGTCTGAACACTGAGTTCACAGCAGAGGGCACATGGACACAAATCCCTCTTCTGGGGGAGACAGATCCTACACTAAAGAAGAAGCTTCTTGCAGATGATCGTGTTATGGGGGGAAACGAAGCTGGGGAGGGTGGAGGGAAGTGCCAGGGGCAGGGGAGGGGCTTGCGGTGTTCCATAGGGGTGGCTACAGGGACAGCCTCGCAGAGAAGGGGACATTTAAGCAAACACTTGAAGGAGGGGAGGGAGAAGGTCAGGTGCAGGCAGGGGAACAGCAAGTGCAAAGGCCCTGGGGTGGAAGCGCGTGTCTGGCGTGTCCATGCTGAAATGCATGTTCAGGGTCTGGGATGATGTGCGATGGCGAGGGGGTGGCCTCTGTGAGGAGGTGACATCTAAGCTGTATGTGGGGACAAGAATGTCCCGGGCAGAGGGAACAGCACGGACGAAGGCTCCCAGACAGGAATGAGCTGCATGTGTTTAAGCAGCAGTAGGGAGCCAGGGGCATGGTAGCGGGGAGCCTGGCGGGCAGGCGGGCACTGCCTGAGCCCAGCGGGGGCGGCGGAGCGCGGGCAGGGGCTGGGCTCTGAGACGGTCACTCTGTTTGCCCCCCAGGAGGCTGTCCTTCAAGGGCCCGTCCTCAGAGGAGCACGTGCGGGAGGCCAGCCTGGGGCTGCTGATGGGCTACCTGGGCCCTACCGTGGATGCCATCGTGGGCTCCGTGGGGCGCTGCCCGCCTGCCATGCGCCTGGCCTTCAAGCGGCTGCATCGGCGTGTGGAGGAGCGCTTCCCCCAGGACGAGCACAAGGTGGGCCGGCGCTCCCGGTGGGCAGATGGGGAGACGGAGGCTGGGGCAGGCAGGCGCTTGTCCAGGGTCACGTGGGAGGCAGGGCAGAGGCAGGCAGGCAGAAACGGGGCTGCCGCGCTGCAGTGCTCCGTGGCCCATCCCTGGAGCCGGGGTGAAGAGCTCCCCACTTCCTGTTTACGGATGGGGAAATTGAGGCCCAGAGGGCAAAGAGCCTGGGCCTCCAGATGCCCAGCGGGGTGTCTCCTTTCTCTCGCTCAGTCCCCACTGAGGGCTGCCAGCAGAGGTGCTAAGTGGGACACGGCAGGGAGGCGGGAGGGAAGGGAGGCCGGCTCCCCAGACGTCTGACCCTTGCGGGTGGAGCCAATATCGTGACACCCAAGTGTCCCCAGCTCTCAGCCCCCACAGTGGGAAAGGCCTTGGGCCGGGAGTAGGGACTTTTTCAGGCCCACAAGTCTGGATGGGGCCAGGGGAGCCCCTTTCTCTGTCTCTCTGACACCTGTTCCTCCTTCTCAAAAAGGAGGAAGTCACGTGCTGATGTCGAAGGCTAAAATTACCCTTGAACGTGGTGGGCGGGGGCGGTGACCTGGGGGGCAGTTCAGGGTTCCAGAGGAGGGAGGGAGGGGCAGCTCCAGGTCCCCCACCCTGGCAGGGCTCACGGTGGCCAGGGAGTTGGCACCCACCAGGGAGGGCACTGTCTCCGGTGTGAACACAGCCCCTACCTAAACTCCGGAAACACTCTGGGGCTAAATATAGCCCGAGTAGGAGAGGCCAGTGGGGAGTGGCTTGGGGGGAGCCAGATGTACCCAGGATGGAGACACACCCTCTGCGGTGCTGAGGGAACTAGCCTCACCTGCTGGGGGGGGCGGGGCAGAGGCTGGGGCTGCGGGTGCACACGGGACAGGCTCTGGAGCCTCAGTTTCCTCATCTAGAAAAAAGGAGAGAATCGTTTCTACCCCATGGGATGTTTGAAGGTTAAATGTGATCGTTCAGGCTCAGTTCCTGACTAGGTGAGCGCCCCACAGTAGCTAGTGTTGAATGCAAGAGAGTGTGGTGGAGAGCTGAGAGTTCAAACCCTGCCTGCGCTCCGTCTTGTTCTGCCACTTACTCATGAGAGGCCTTGAGCAAGTAGCCCTCCCTCTCTGGGCTTCACTTGCCCCCTCCGTAAAATGGGGGTGTAATCCCACCTGGGTGAGTATTAAATAAACAAATGTATGGAGAAGTGTCTGGCCTGTTGCTATTCACTATCATAAAAATCACTAGTGGCCCGGTGCACGGATTCGTGCACATTGAAAGGAAATTAATTAGAAGGTGGCCTGTGGGGCGGGACTGGGCTAGACGTGCTGGACACACCCTGGAGCCAACCTCCCTCAGTCCCTCCCCCATCTCGGGTGATGCACCCCAGAACCGCAGCTGCCAAGTCACTGCAGCTGGGCAGCTCCTGCGGTGAGCATCTGCCCCCTGGTGGTCGGGTGGTTGGACGGTTGCTTAGCCTTTTATATAGATAGATAGATCTGGGATTGAATCCTGCCTCCTTTGCTCACCAGCTGTGTGACTTTGGGCAAGTCAATTGACATCTCTGAGCTTCTGCTGCCTCATCTGTAAAATGGGAATAATGACAATGCTCCCTTCATAGGACACGACCTTAGCAGACTCTGAGGGTGTTGGCTGCATCTGATTGTGCAGAATTGGTATTCTTACTTCATTTTCCAGATGGACACACTGAGGCTCCAAAAGGAGAGGCCTCCTTGACAGGATGGCCTTCTGACCCATCTCCCATTTCACTTCCTCGGTTTCCACAGCGGGGAGGTGGGGGTAGGTCTGGGTCTGGGGGTGGGGCTCTCACCTGCTGCGTCTCTCGGCAGGACGTCAAGTACCTGGCCATAAGCGGCTTCCTCTTCCTGCGATTCTTTGCACCTGCCATCCTCACCCCGAAGCTGTTTGACCTCCGGGACCATCACGCAGACCCCCAGACCGGCCGCTCACTGCTGCTGCTTGCCAAGGTGCCGGCACTGGAGGGCCCATCCTGGGGGTGCTGAGCGAGGGGAAAGCATGTGGGAACAGAGCAGGGAGGCCAGGCCTGAAGGAGACCCAAATGAGACGCAGAAACACCCGTCTGAAACACCACCATTAGCTCTCATCCCGAGGGTGAAGGCAACCATTATACTCTCTAATTTCCTCTTCTGAAACAAAGACCTACTCTTCCAGGAGGAAAGTGGGAAGCAGGCTAGTAGTCCTTTACACCTTAGTATGAATTAGACCATCCTTGGCCAAGTGGCCACATTTTGAGGTTCTGATGGGCTCCAGATATGCATGATAGGATCAGGCAATCCCGGATGTGGGACCTGGGCTCAGGAGGGAACAGAATAATAAGG